TCTCATATTTACATCAATTTTTATTCTGTGAGTGTATGTATCATGTTTATATGCTATGTAATGGGTTTCATATATAATTTTGAGGAAAATATCATAGATGGATTAATGAAAATGCCTATATTGATGTAAAATAAGACATTTAGTGTGCCCAAGAGTGATTATTATTACGTAGAATTGGCGTCATGAGTAGAGAGAGACTTAGCGATTTTAATGTGTACCTGCACACCAGCACAGTGTGTAAGTATATTTAGGTACAGGTACGTTTAAGTATAATTATCAGAGTACACCTACCATCCGACTTACGACCGAGTTCGGTTCCGAGAAACCGGTCGTAAGTCGAACTTTACTACTGAATATCAACAAAACATTTTTGTAATGACTTTATTTTATTGTTTTATTTTGGTATTTCTGTTTTAACTTTACTTTTATGTTGTTAGTACTGTATTTTATTACTGTAAGGTTTAGGATAAACGCTGTATACAACACAAATAGTTGTTTATTTCCCTGAAATTTGCATAAAAAACACGGTCGTTAAAGCGGGGCCTTACTGTAATTCATGCGGGAGAATTGTAAACAAATGCATTACGTATTAAGTGGAGCGAGTAAGGTTTTCCTCCTGGCTACCACACTTCCATAGTATATAAACATAAAATGTTTATATGCTATGTAACATGTTTTTTAAATACAATTTTGAAGAAAATATCATAGATGAATTAATGAAAATGTCTATATTGACACAAAATAAGTATTTAAAATGTGCCCAAGAGTGATTATTATTGGTATTACATAACGTTTTCCTCCACCCGGCAATCACTCCTCCAACCATATAAACAGCATGTTTATATGCTATGTAACATGTTTCTTATATAATTTTGAAGAAATTATCATAGATGGATTAATGAAAATGTATATATTGATGTAAAATTGGACATTTAATGTGTCCAAGAGTGATTATTATTACATAATAGAGAGATGTGCTCATGGAGAATGTAAACAAACCGGGTGACACGCGTCGTATTTGAAAGACTGCTTGCTGTATAGAAAGAAGCCATACCATGGGTGGGGTTTGAACCCCCGGTCAGAGATGGCTAATGCGATGGTCTGGAGTTTTGAGACTCTGACCGTGGGTTCAAACCCCACCCGTGGTATGGTTTGTTTGCAATCATATCATTACAATTTCGTGAGCCGTATGGAAAGTTTTGGTCATAATTTGAGATCGCCATATTAGCAGAATGCTATAAGGCGAAATGCCGAAAAGAGGGACCCTACTGTATGCTTTATTATTACGCTAATATCAATACTACAGCTTATTTGCCTATCACAATTGATCTTATAACATAACATGTTAAATGCTCCAGAATAAATATAATATTTGGCATAATAACGAGCGGTTTGATGAGAGGATATGGGATGGAAATATAAACACACATGCAGTATAATGTGATCCTTTGTTGACAATGTTTCACCCACACAGTGGGCTTTATCAGGTCACAGACAGATCTACCTGGGTGGAAGGTACGTGAGTATTTATAGGATGAAGTCAGGTTGAGAATGCTGGGTCAGGTGGAGAATGCTGCATGTGACAATATACGGAGTAGAGTTATAGAGTCTAATACCGTGGGGAGCTTGGAAGAGAATTGGAATGTACATGAGTAGACTTTCCAAATGGTAAGCAAGAGTAATATAAGAGGGACCTGGAGCCATGTCTAATGAACAGAGAAAATGTTTATTTTAGTGCCAGGAATGTCTGCATTGTTTATTCTGGACCTTATTTTGAAATTGCCATCTTTTGAAATTTGTGTGAAATTGGGCCCAAATTGCCAATTTCTGACCACTTTATTGAATAGTTGAAATAGGTGAATGGGCAGTTTTCTTGTACTCAGTTGACAGAATAGAAGTAAGTTTATTTAGGTATACACAAATACAGTTACAAAATTATTATACATAGCAGCATATGTATAGGAATCGAGGATAACCCAAGAAAGTCAGTGACTTATTTCCAGTACCTGGCTTGGGCTTGCCATATATGATTTTTGGTAAATATTTTTTTCTCATTTGTTTGTTGGGCTACCTTATTGAAACTTAGGCAATATATGATGGAAAGATGCTTCTTAATGTACACGAAAAATGAAAAAAATCAGACGATAAATAACAGAGCTTACTTCTCAGCCATTAACTTCTCCTTTGCAGTATATTTTTGTATGGTTGTTATGGTTGTATTCTCGTTTTTTTGGTCTCATTTCATAGAATGGAAGATATATTACAGAAATAGATATGATTTTGATTGGTTTCATGATGAAAAGTACCTTGAAATTGAGTGATCAATAGTGTTCATAGTCTCTTCGTTTGGGTTAAGCCTTATAAGCTAGTGTCTTCCTGAATAGTTGTACTAGGGGATACTCATCCCCTTGGAAACAGGAATTTCTGAGGTGCAGGAGGGTCACTAATACCGACTGAATATTGCAGGAATTAAGGCTCCCGGTTGCACATGGTTCTGAGGGAAAGTCCAGAGGGGCTAAAGCTTAGGGCGGTTGAAGACCGGGATATATTCTCAACACAAGTAAGTTAGTCCTTCATTCATGCATGCAGGCGAGATTTCTTGCAACATCAGTCATTTATGGAAATCTGTCTATAAGCCACTTGTGAGGCTGAGGTACCAGCCTCAGGGCTCGGTGTCAACAGAGCTTGCCAGGGTAGACAACTCACAGGGAGGCAGTCCAGACAAATTTTCAGGTTGGTTAACTTTATTAAGTATATTCTAACCTAAAACCCCTCTGTAATCCGCACACTAGAGGACCAATGATACCAGATTTGTGATGACGAACTGTGGTAAATAATAATTTAAAAATAATATGTAATAACAGTAAGGAGAAATTCAGGAGGCTGCCAGTAGTTGGCGCCACAATCGGCAAAACATTGGTATCCACTACTACTTTTCACTGTCTATACTTAAGTAGTTTATAAGTACAGTATTAGGTTAAGTCTGCCTGAAATGCCTCGCATGATAGTGGCTTTCTTTGCTCCAATCATATTATGATTGTAAACACATTGTAACCCTTGCAGAGAAATAAATATTTTATTTGTGTATTTATTTATGGAACCTCCCTTGAGGGGGAAGTTCGTATCCTGAAATTTCATTCGTGTCCAGAAGCAAAAAAGTCGACCGAGCGACTGTTTTGCATCCAGAAAAATTAGCATGTGGGGCATTGTGCAAGGAAGGTATACAATACCGACAAGATGAAAGTTAAGACATGTGCTACACTTTTGTTATCTTTATTGTAGACATTTTGCCATCCAGTTGCTTTATCAATACAGATTATAGTATCTAGAATCTGTATTGATAAAGCCACTGGATGGCAAACATCTACAATAAAGATAACCAGATGTTGCACATGTGTCTTAACTTTCATCATGGTGGGGCATTCATAAGCCAAGGTTTCACCATACAGTGCCTGCACTATGAAGGACTGGCAGTGGTGGTGGTGGTGATATTTTTGTTTGGAGGAACATCGGAACTGTAATACTTGCATGCTCTAGCAAGACAGTGATGGAGTGAATGATGGTAAAAGTGTTTCTTTTTTGGGTTATCCAGCCTCACTAAGAGATGGTCACTGTGTTAAAATAAAAATAATAATAATAATATTTTTAAGTATATCAGCAGCTGAACAAATAAAAGTAGGGTGAATACAGTAACATATGGAGCCCTGCTAGCTGGTGTTTCCTGGTATATTAGAGAAGGATGGAAATGGCTACCAAAAATGTGTAAATGCTAGTTTAGTCAATTATAAAGTGCCAGCGAATTCTTTATTTCTTGGCTATTTTAGTACAGTGGAACCCCGACTTACATTATTAATCCGTTCCAGAGAGCACATCATAAGACAAAATTATTGTAAGTCGAATTAATTTTCCCCGTAAGAAATAATGTAAATCAGATTAATCCGTTCAAGACACCCAAAAGTATGAAAAAAAATTTTTTTACCACATGAAATATACATTTTCCTACACACAAAAAGAAGGATACATACAGAATATATATTGTGTGTGTATCCTTGTATATGAACATCAATGGGATACAATACCGAAGTGTTGTTAGGTAAGACACATATGCCAACAGATTAGACATATAAAGTTGTCTAACTGTTTGCATATGTGTTTACCTAACATCCTTGTAAATGCCATGTATATTGTGCGTGTACTAGTTCTAAATGAATAAATGACACATACCTTAAATTGAAGATGTAGTGATGAATGATGAGCACTTTTTGTGTCCTGGGAGTACCTTTCTCTGAGTAATGTAGGTCCATTTGGCAATTTTCCCAGAACAGCTTATCACACGTGTATGCCACTACGATTTCTTGAATATCCTCAACCAACCTTTATGGCCTTAATTCACCAATAAGCTACTATTTCCGGCTTTTTTCCTTTCACCTGGGTGTTAGTCGATGTGTGGCGTCGCATTCTGGGGACAAGATTAAGGACGCCAGTGCAAATAAGTTAGACAGTCCTCGATGACACACTGACTTTCTTGGGTTATCCTGGGTGGCTAATTGTTTCTCGGTATTCTCAATAAGCCTACGGTGGCTTATTTAGCAGTTACGAGCACTGAAAACACTGGAATAATACAAAATTGATCGAATGTATGCGTTCAACCATCTGCTTTGGATTGTAAACAATGGCACACTAGCTCAGCTAAGGCGCTCAGGCTAGACGGATCAGACAGCTGCGTTCAGGACGAACGATGTAAGTTGAGTTTTTCAATGTAGGTTGAGGTCAAATTTTTATGCTGACAAGCATTGTAAGTCGGTTTTATCGTAGGTTGAGGCCATCGTAAGTCGGGGGTCCACTGTATATATTTACCAGATGGTAAAATGCTAAGGTTAGGAATGCATTGAACTTCTTTAACCATCCAGTTGAATAGCGAGGAGCAAGTTACTAAATAATTATCTTAATTTTTGTAATTTTTGAGCCATGCTAATGTCTGACTGTTCATATCATGCCAGATGCATATCGGAAAGCAGTATCATCGTTTTCTGATTGGCAACAATGGAGTTAACATCCACAAGATTCAGTGTGAGACGGGAGCCCGCATCATTATCTCCAAAAATGAGGATAAGGACACAGAATTAATTATCATAACTGGCATAGAGGTAATTAGATAAAATACTTTTTCAATTATGTATCAAATTTAGTAATATTGATAGCATTTCAAAGATACTATAAGATGTGTCTGTCTGTCATCCCAAACGCTCTCTGTTTTTCTCAAAATCTGAGATATGGTATTGTATATACAACTTGAGAGGCATGTGTATCAGTGTATTTATGGTGACAGTAGTTTAATCCTTATTTCAGAGTACTGATAAGTACAGTAGGGCCCCACTTATACGGCGGGTTAGGTTCCAGGCTGTCGCCGGAAAGCAGACATCGCCAGAAGGCAGAACACCATTTTTTTCCATTTATAAATGCATATAAATGCCAGACAACAAGTTTACACTAAATTATATTAAGTTAGTAATAGAACTAGGCATTAAAAACACACAAAGTAAAATACATTCACAGTAAATTCATTACTTATCTTAAAGTATTTGTAATCTTAATGTAGGGAGAGAGGTGAGTAGTACTTATTTGTAGGAAGTCAGGTGCAGGTAGCCCAGGTGTAGGTAGCCCTGGCTGGCTCCCCGTCTCATATTTAATATACGAGGAGAAGGCTGGAGGCAGTGGAGATGTCATGTCTGAGAGCAATGTGTGGTGTGAATATAATGCAGAGAATTCGTAGTTTGGAAGTTAGGAGGAGGTGCGGGATTACCAAAACTGTTGTCCAGAGGGCTGAGGA